TATATATATATATGTATATATATATATATATATATACGTATACATATATATACATATATTTACACATATATGAGGAGAGCATCACAAGGGGAAACAGCAAGATGACTGAAATCAACACGAACAAATTAGTATGCAAATACAATTATCTGTGCATTTCTTGCTGGAGGCATTAATAAGAGTAATGCTTCTATATAATATATATATATATATATATATTTCTATGTATTTATTTCAACATTACAATAAAGCCTATATAGCACGGCGTGCTTCACTAATGCTATTAATATCTTTATATATTTACGTAATATTTGAAAGAAATAAACATTCAATTACGAGTAGTCGCTCTGCAGCAGCATTTGTTAGTAAGGTTTATACCAAGTTGATGGTGCTTCGTTCTGTTCTTTCTGCATCACTACGAGCATTTGAATTCTCTTTTTTTTGTTTAATGTTTTCTGCTTCTTCTTCTGCTTCTGCTTCTTCTTCTTCATCTTCTTCTTCGGCTTTATCTCCCACTGTGCCGCCAGTTGTAGCGCTGGCGGTGCTGCAAGCAGAAGCTTCCCCTTCTCCTTCTTGTTGCTGCTGCTGCTGCTGGTGCAGCAACTCCTTTTCTGCAGCAAGTAGAGTATGGGCGCGATGTTTGAATGCGTACGGCTGATCCTCAGGTGCATGCAGAGCTCTGCAGCAGAGGCGTTGAAAGCCCCTTAATACGCATACACCCCAGAGGGGTTTATTTCCCTCTCCTTCTCTTGCCTGCTGTCTGTTCGTTGAGATGTCTGCTGCTCCACAGCAATCAGCAGCAGCACCAGGTGCTGCTGCTGCAGCACAAGAACTAGACGAGGCACAGCGGCCCTTCAACAAATCCTTGCATGCGCGGATAACGTCAGCGTCGCTGCGGAGACCCTCAACGACAGAAACTCCCTGACACAGACAGAGAGCAGCACGAACAGCAACAGCAAATAATCTGGCTGCTGCTTTGCAGCACTAGTTTTAGTCGCGTACGGTTTAAGACGCATCACAAACAACAGCAGCAAATAATACTGCTGTTCTACGAAAATAGACGTAGGAGTCAGTGCAAGTTTACAATTCATTCAGAAACTCAGTAAATGCTGTAACTTAAGAAAATATATTCAGTGAAGCATCCCCAACTGAAATACAAATAGCAGAGACCTAAGCGCTCTTCAGTAAGCATGCAGTGAAATTGTTGTTAAATGCATTGGGGTGTATCTGCATTCTTTTGCTTTAAAAACAAAATATTTCAACTTACGTCGAATACAGAGTTGTTTCTGTGCTGAAAAGAATCTGCAAGAAAGAAATCTGGGGCATAATGAATGTTGTTAGCTTCGTCAGGCCCTTGTGTATTTTCTTCTTCTTCGCTGTCATTCTTATCATTATCATTAGTTCCATCATGACTGTTAGTATTATCTGGAGCCTTTCTTTTGAGAGATCGCCCTGGAGCTGCTGTATATTCGTCAGGCTTCCACTTCATTTGAGGTGTACGCATGATTGCTGCAAGCTGAACAAATTGCGTATTCGGTACAGCAAACCCCGGCCCTTTATTTATCTTTTCTAGAGCTAGTAGCATTGCTACTTGCGCGTCTTCTTGTGGATCATGCCCATGTATTCTTTTCATCTCCTTGTTTAAATAAACTTGCGCAAGACGCTTCAGAGAATAATTCAGACCCAACCGAGGATGCGGATACAGCACAGAGGTGTCGATACACCGCGAATGCACGAGTTTTAGAGCATGTAAGTCGTATTCAAGAGAATGCCCCACAAGAACAAACCCTGAAGGAAGCAGCTTTCTCATTCTTTTATGCACGTCCTTCAGAGTTAACTTCGCTTGCTGCAGCTTCGCCTCTGTTAGCCCCGAGTATCGAGTTAAGTAATCTAAGACAGGAGATGAAGGCTTCACCAGTTCGTCCATCACTACATGCAAATCGCTGTCTACGATGCAGACGCGACCCAACTCTTTTCCTTCTTTTGTCTCTACCATTTCGCAGTCTAAACCGAACATCAAACTCAGCTTCGGCTGCATATACACCCAGCAGCGCACACACTACTAGTCTGTTTGTTTCCATTATTATTACATTATTATTATTACTACTATTATCCTATTGTTCTTCACCTCTACACATACCTAAGTGCGTACACACACACGATGCAGACTCTCAACGAAGAAAAAACCTACTTCTTCAGCCTTGCTTTCATCGTCTTCTAAACAAATATACGCCGAGCTATTCTTCCTCCTGCCACCATCTGCAAGGAAGAAAAAGGAGACAGAAAAACAAACACAGCAAGCTCAAACCCGTGCATCCTGCATGCAGTAGAAAGGGCAATTATTAGTTC